TCACTATGAGTTGTGATAGAATCGATGGCAGTGAGTTTAGGTTTTAGTTTTGGTTACCTGTCTTTGGTATCAGAGTTATTCAGGCTTCATAGAATGAATTTTCCATAGTCTGGAATAGTTTGAGTAGAATTGGTGTCAATTCTTCTCTGAATGTTTGGTAGAATTCGCCAGTGAAACCTTCTGGGCTGGGGCTCTTTTTTGTTGGGAGTTTTTTAAATGACATTTTTAATTTCTTCTTTTGTTATGAGTCTGTTCAGAGTTTCTACCTCTAATTGTATTATTTTGGTAGGTAGTGTGTTTCTAGAAATTTGTGCATTTCTTCTAGGTTTTTAAGTTTGTTGAAGTACAATTTTTTATGGTATTCTGTTATGACCCTTTTTATCTCAGTTGATACTGTTGTAATGCCACCCATTTCATTTCCCCAAAAATACTCTTATGAAATCAGGGTTAAATTTACTTGCCTCTCTCTCTCTCTCTTTTTTAATGGTTCCATATAATGACCTCTCTAAGCATCCATAATAATAATAGCACTGATTGAGATCATGTCTGGCTGAAGTGTCCTGCCTCAATGATACTTATTTTTTTAATTCAAAAAAGAAAATTGAGACTTAGCCGTGATTTAATAAACAACTATTTGTTCCCCCTAAGGGACAACTAGAAGGAGATCTGGTGGTGTAGTAGTTAAGGCATTTGGCTGCTAAGCAGAAGGTTGGTGGTTTGAACCCACCAGCCACTCCATGGAAGAAAGATTAGGCAGTCTGCTTCCATAAAGATTTACAAATCCAATGGGTCACTATGGAGTCAACTTAAAGGCAGTGAGTTTTGCTTAAGGGATAATGAAGGAGCTGTGGTGGCACTGTGGTTAAGCAATCAGGTAACTGAAAGGTTAGCAATTTGGACCAACCTGCTGCCTCATGGGATAAAGATGTGGCAGTCTGCTTTCATAAAAATTACAGCCTTGGAAACCCTGTGGGGCAGTTTTACATGTTTTGGTTGCAACAAGTCAGCATCAAATTAATGGCAATGGGTTTGGTATGGTTAAGGGACAACTTTTACTTCAGCTTATACAATGAGTTCATAGAAATTAAAAAACTATGTGCAAATAAATCCCTTTAGTCTGAAGCATTTCATAAGCTCTCTTTGGCCTTTTGCAGAATTGTTTATCATCTATGATTAATAAAAGGTAAACGTATGGGATCCTTTCTGAATATTTTAGAAAGTCTGAATATTTTACAGGGTCTTGATACTTAAGTTTGTGTCACTTACTTGACATAATAAGTCAGCAATGATTTATTTTTCACACTGACGAAATCAGGAAATAGTTTACACAGAAGTAGGAGCAATTTGCATTCTTTTTAAAGAACATTTAATGTTCAGAACTATTAAACATGAATAGTGAGAAGAAATATTGTTAATTTAGCCTTTTTAATAATAAAATAGAATCTCATTTGTTTGGAAGGGTTGATTTCTTTGGGGTAAGTAGATAACTAGAATATATTTTAAAGTTATTTTCCAGAGTAATTTTACAAAATAAATCTGATTTTTATGACGTAAGGAAATGCAGTCATTCCAGTTTTAGATGTTAAATCTAATACTGTGATATGAATTGGTTTCGCAAGTCTTGTTAACTGGATCAATTAGCTTTTCTGTGTTTGTTCCCATAATTGGTATGTAGCTATGAGATTTAATAAAGAAATGTGGAATTTACAATTTTGCATACTCTTTAGCACCATCCTCAGCATTATAGATCCTCTTCATTCTGTGAATTCACTGACACGTCGGTATGTCAGCTTTATTTCTCTTTCTCACCTTAAAGACCCATCCCTTAAAGAGACAGAAAACAGAAAAACAATTGAAAGAATCAGCAAGACTAGAAGTTGGTTCTTTGAAGGATTAATAATATTGACAAACCACTGGCAAATTTAACGAAGGAAAAGAAGAAATGAAATAGGTGATGTCACAACAGAGCCTACTGAAATAAAAAGGTTAATAACAGAATAGTATGAAGAACTGTTTACTACTCATCTCTCAGTTTGCCAAACTGTGATGGCTTGCATGTTGCTGTGATGCTGGAGACTATGCCACTGGTATTTAAATACCAGCAGGGTCACTGTGATACAGTTAATTACTTGGTGTGGCTTTTCTAACCAGTCTTTGTGACTCCCACCAGATTGCTAAGTGGGACCATGCAAGTAAGGTGTATGGAACTCTAAAGTGGGGACTGGTTAGTTTTGCCATTCTGCTAGGCTTAAAATGAGCCCTTCTAGAGTGAGATAGGGGGATCTTATTGCCATCAAGAGAGAAGAGCCAGAGGTGGAGTGGAGTGTGTCCTTGGACTCGAGAACCCTGCCCTGGACCTCCTTGGTAGAGAGATTGCAGAGATGTCTGGCAGAGAAAACTGGCAGAGACGACAGGCTAAGGAACCAAGAGACACAAAACAGAGAAGTAGGCTTGCTGGCCCATGGAGAGAGAAAGCTGGGTGCCTTTGGGCAGGAGGCTTGCTGGCAGAGTGGGGTGTACCTAGGTGTACCTATTGGCAGGACTAAAAGAGGTTTGTAACACTTGCCCGAGCGGGGCAAAGGCCAGGCAGAGAAACCAAGGGCCACAGAGGTATGCCCCAGGAAATAGCAGAGGGAAGACTATCTTGATCAAAGAATTGTATCTTGAGCATGTTCCTGAAGCTTAGTTGCAATCTGTTATTTCCCTAATAAATCCCATAATCATGAGTATTGTCTGTGAGTTCTGTGCAGCCATTACAATGAATTGTTGAATCTAGCAGAGAAGTAGAGAGTACCATGGCAGGGACAGCTGGTGTCAGAATTGGTAAAAAGTTTGGAGGGTGGCAGCATGCCTGGCCTCAAAGGAATCAGCCTTGGGCTGTTGATGGTGATTCTGTCTCCCTCTTGTGAAGTCAGAGGAGGTCAGAAGATGCCACTCCTATGCCCTTTTTGCAGTCACCCATGGTGGACAGGTTTCAATGAGGCTTCCAGACAAAGACAAATGAGGAAGAAGGACTTGGTTGTTCACTTCTGAAAAAAATTATCCTCTGAAAACGTTATGAATAGCAGTGAAACATTGTCTGACACAATGTCAGAAGATGAGCCCCTCAGGTTAGAAAGTACTCAACATATGACTGGGGAAAAGTTGCCTCCTCAAGGTACAGTTGACTTTAATGACATAGGTAATGTATGATCAAGAATGGATGGTATTGAAGGAAGAAATCCAAGCTTCACTGAAGGAATTGCCAAAAAAACAAGGTTCCAGGAATTGACAGAATACCCACTGAGATGTTTCAACAAATGGATGTAGTACTGGAGGCATTCACTTGTTTATGCCAAAAAATTTAGAAGACAACTGCCTGGCCAAATGACTGGAAGAGATTCAACTAGAGGTTAGACTTGTATTAACTTGTCTAAAGGGGAAGGCAGTATACAAGAAAGTGGAGGTCAGCAAAAAATGATCAAGGCAGTGGAAGATACAGGGAGGAGCACAACCAAGCTGAATACAATTAATACACAATCCTGCAATAACAGTAATAACGATAATTTATGAGTGGATACATAGATAGACTTTCAGTCTGAATGGGGTGGGGAGGAGAATGCATGCAGGTTTGACAAACTATCTCTACCTATGTATTTATATGTGCTACAAATGTATTCATGAATATTGTTGTTGTTGTTATGTGTCGTCAAGTTGGACCCAACTCATAGCAACCCTTCCTTGGGTTTCCAAGGCAGTATCACTACAGAAGTAGATTGCCTCATCTTCCTTCCGAGGAGTGGTTGGTGGGTTTGAACTGCCAGCCTTCTGGTTAGCAGTCAAGTGCCTTAGGCACTACAGTACCAGAGCTCCCATAATAGAGCATACAGGGGGCAAAGTTATGAAAATGTCTTAGTCACAGCCAAATATCTTGAGGGAATAAATCATTGGGCATGGAGGCTCAGGACTATAGTCTCAGGGGACACCATGGCCAATTGGCATAACATAGTTTACAAAGACAATGTTCTACATCCTACTTTGATGAGTAGCAACTAGGGCCTTACAAGCTCTAGGAGCTCTGGTAGCATAGTGCCTAAAGCACTTGACTGCTAACCAGAAGGCTGGCGGTTCAAACCTACCAGCCACTCCTCAGAAGGAAGGTTGGGCAATCTACTTCTGTAGTGATATCACCTCGGAAACCCAAGGAGGGGTCTCTATGAGTCAGGTCCGACTCGATGGCAAATAACAACAACAACAAGGTACAACTATTGGTGTCTCCCTGTCTGGAGCAAAGAAGTGTGAAGAAAATCAAAGACTCAATGAAACAATTAGTCCAAAGGACTAATGGACCAAGTGAACCTCAGTCTCCATGACCCTGAGACCAGAAGAAATAGAGAGTGCCCAGCTACCACTGCAGACTGTTCTGAAAGGGATCACAATAGGACGTCCTGGATAGAATAGGGGAAAATATGGAACACAATTCAAAAATCATAAAAAAAAAAGACCAGGCTTACTGTTCTGATGAAGACTGGTGGAACCTCTGACACCATGGTCCTTAGACAGCCTTCCAGCTAGGAAATGAATTTAACCCCATGACTCAACTGTCAATCAAATGGTAAGCAGGCTTGTAAAGTGAATAGTAATACCAGGAGGGTATGCACTCATTAATAAAATCAAGTGTATGAATTCAAGAGGACAGCAATGCCCCAGGGATAAAGCTACGAAGGCAAGAAGGGATGGAAGAAAAGGACAAAGGGAAGAAGAGGTGGGCACAAGGAGGAAGTGGGAAGAATGCTGTTACAGTGCAGGGATTGCAGTGAATGTCACAAAACGTAATGCATGTGAAGTGTTGAATGAAAACCAATTTGCTCTTCAAACTTTCACCCTCCCAAAATTAATTGATTAAAGTTATTTTCCAGAGTAATTACACAAAATAAATTTGATTCTTTTGACATAAGGTAATGTAGTCATGCCATTTTTACATGTTAAATCTAATTCTGTGATGTGAATTGGTTTTGCAGGTCTTGTTAATTGGATCAATTAGCTGTTGTGTGTCCGTTGCTGCAACTGGATATGTAGCTCTGAAATTAAATAAAGAAATGTGGGATTCACAATCTTCTGTACTCTTTGGCATCACCCTCACCATTATAGATCCTCTTCATTCTGTGAATTCACTGAAAACTATCGGTATGTCAGATTTATTTCTCTTTTTTACTTAAAGACCCATCCCAGTCATGGTTGCCTCCTTTTCTTTTTTCCTAGCACCTTCCATTCCTTCTATTTCTGTTTCTGTGCAATAGCGTCATTTTTATGTGCCACATTAAGTTATATTTTGTGCTTGCTTTTCCAGGTGTTTCCAAAATGTTTATTAATACTGTTAGAGGAGAATCATTGATCATGTGTAGCATCACATTCATTGTCATTGGATTTTTTCGGGCCACCACAATTCACATTAACATATTTGAGGGTAGGAGCATTTTTTCCTGGATATTTTCTAAAATCATTTTTATATGGTACATTTTAATTCACATTGGATTACAATATATTCATGATATTCTTACTGCTTTCCCTATATTTTACCCTTGGATCAATTAAAAAAATAACACATCAGGTAGAACCTTCTCTTCCCTTTCATATCTAAGGAAAATAATTACCATGTGTGTGCTTCCTTGAATATTAGAGAAAAAGAACTTTAAAAAAATTGTATCTTTTCCAACATGTGTGAGTGCACACTAAGATTTACACAGAATTGTGCCAGCTAGCTCATACTTCTTTCTTGGATCAATCTGGATTTAAATGAGTGGATGTTAAGAACTAGTTTTCTCTGGGATTAGAGTCTGAGAGAGGAAAGCAAAATGGTTCAAGCAGTGCTGGAGAGTCAGGCCCTAGAAGTGGCAATAGACAGATTCATGGGGTTAAAGTTCAGTGGAATATGAAGCATGCTGTTTTACTAGATTTCCAGATGTGGTACTGTTGTTGTTGTTGTTATTTGCCGTCGAGTTGGCCCCGACTCATAGCGACCCCTCCTTGTGTTTCCGAGGCAGTATCACTACAGAAGTAGGATTTCCCAGCCTTCCTTCCGAGGAGTGGCTGGTGGGTTTGAACCGCCAGCCTTCTGGTTAGCAGTCAAGTGCCTTACTAGTAGTGAAGAAAGGGTGGAGGGAACACAGTATGAAGGGGGGGAAATGTATCCTCCTGATATATTAACGTGATAGTTGCAGGTGGAGAGAGAGATTAAAACAACAAAGTATTGACAGATGAAGAGGGGTTTATAGGTCTGCAATATTTTTTCTATGTGGAAGCTATGGGCATTTTGAGTGGTGCAATCTTTGTTATTTTAGGACTATAGTTGGCATTGCTTGATACTTTCCTACTCAGTGCAGCTAGTGCCCCCAGTTCTTGTGACAACCAAAATTTTCTCTCTCTATTTCCCAAATGCTCTCCTGGAATAGGGACATGGTTCACAAACTGCCTGCAGGTTGGCAGGGACCTTGGGCATGATTTGCTTAGTCCTATCATAATTTATAGGAGCTCTGGTAGCATAGTGGCTAAAGCACTTGACTGCTAACCAGAAGGCTGGCGGTTCAAACCCACCAGCCACTCCTCGGAAGGAAGGTTGGGCAATCCTACTTCCGTAGTGATACTGCCTCGGAAACCCAAGGAGGGGTCGCTATGAGTCGGGGCCGACTCGATGGCACATAACAACAACGACAACAATCATAATTTATAAAAGTGTTGAATTTGGATATCTTTTGGTTAGACATTTACTCTCCAGTTTGTCACCAGCTTTTGACATTGATGCTCCCTGTCATTCTCCTGAGGGCATTTGAGACTGCTGACCTGGCTAAGCAAACTCCAAGCTGCAAACCGTAAGGAAAATATACCCTAAGAGAGCCTATTTTGCCAGGCTTTCACTGGAAATTCCTTTAACTGAAGAACAAGGTTCCCACTCAAAATCTTAAGAACAAACAAAAGTTCACAGACCCAAACACCATCAATGAAAGAACAAAAATTATAACACCATCTTTTGTTTCTCATTTTCTTTTTCTAGACTTAGATGCACTCCTGACTCTCTCCTTGCAAATTTTTGGAGGCATAATATGTGGATATCTTTGTGCAAGAATCATTCAGTTTATACTGATTGACCTTTTAAGCAATACATTGAGTAATGTCATCCTCTGCTTTTCAATGGTGTACATGACTTTCTACATTGGTAAGGCAGAAACAGATATATATATATATATATATATATATATATATATATACACACACATTTCTATCCTTGAAGTGAAAATAAATCTTTATTTTATGTCTTGCTCCAGGTGCTTTTTCCCAACAACTTCTACCCTTTTGTAGCCTTTCTGTCTTTCTGCCACTTCTGGCTCTTTCCTGATCTCTCTTAACACCCCCTTCATTTTATCTCCATGTCCCTTTCCCTTTGCACTCCTCTTCTGTGTAATTATTCTCTTATTCTTCTTGATTCCATACTTTGACCATACATTGAACCCCTGAGTCCCCTGGAAGAGGTATTGACTCTGAGCTGATTCTTGCTCTGACCCTTAGTTCCTGTATGTACGACGAGAAAGTTGGGAAAGATGCTCCTGAGGTCTTTTCTAGGTCAATAGTCTTTAATTCAATGGGTACTGTTCTGGTAACCTAGTGCCACTCTGACAAGAAATATACCACAAATGGGTGGCCTCAACAAAAAGGAATTTATTCTTACGATTTGGAGGCTTTAAGTCCAAGTTCAAAGTGCCAGGCTCTAGGGGCTGGGTGAAAGCCCCTCAACCTTGGGGTCCAGCTCTGCCTCCCGCTCCCAGCCCACTGGAGCTAGAGGCGTTTCTTCACTCAGACAGTTGCTGGCTGCTGAGGCTGAGAACCCCCCAAGGCTGACAAGTAAAAAGGCACAGTCCCGATGTTACCAAACCACATGGCAGGCCATTAACTTTTAGTCCATCGTAAGTCCCAAGGTCGGCAGAGCATAGCAGGCTGCTGAGCAACAACACGGCTACATGCAGGGTCCAAGCGTGCCATAGGCTAGAGACCATTCCCAAGGCTTCTCTTTATATACAGGAAGCAGACCATATCCCAAAAGCTACTCAGCTGCTTGTGGTAGATCCCACCATGGAGTTGACTGCCAGTCTCATCATGGAGAATAACTACCACCAGCTGCCCAGCCACTCAACCAGGCCCAGCCAAGTTGACACAAAAACATAACCACCACAGGTACCAAAAGGAAAGGACTGTAGAAATGGTGGCCCTTGCCTGAGGCTAGAAGGCAACAGAGGAGAGGGAGAAATCCAGTATGTATAAGTGATGTCTGGAAGAGAAGCAGGATGGTGAGATAGTTGTAGGAGGCAGAGTGCCAGCAGTGGTGGACCTACAGCAATCATTCCCTAATTTAATTCAGGGAAATTGGAAACTAAAATGTCTACTGGCTTAACTGAAGTCACAAGTCTCCAAGGGCCATAATAAAGCAAACCAAACCAAACACCCTGCTGTCAAGTCAGATCCGACTCATAATAACCATGGTTAAACTGTAAAATTTGAGTTTTGCTCTCCCATAGGGAAGCAACTTCTGTCCACTGAAAGACTCCATATATGAAGAGGTTAATTATTCCTGTTTCCAACTCCAGTTACTTAAACCTTGCCTCCTGTACAGATAAATTGCCATCTGGGTATTGCTCACTACCCTGAATAAGGAAAATTAGAGAAAAATTCACTCAAGCCTCATTTCCTTCAATACTGGAATTATACTCTATAAGGTGACACCAATTTTTAAATACAGTGATTTAGTGATTTCTTCATAGTAGTAGATGTTATCTCTAAATAGTGACTATTATTGAAAAAGATGATGATGAGCTTTAAAATCTCGTAACACTAATTATTGTTGTTGTTGTTATTTGCCCTCAAGTCAGACCCGACTCATAGCAACCCCTCCTTGGGTTTCCAAGGCAGTATCCCTACAGAAGTAGATTGCCCAACCTTCTTTTCGAGGAGTGGCTGGTGGGTTTGAACCCCCAGTCTTCTGGTTAACAGTCAAGTGCCTCAGGCACTATGCTCCCAGAGCTCCCAACACTAATTATAGAAAATTAGAAATAATGTTTTGAGAGCTAGTTTCCATATCATTATAGTTCCTGGTACAGCTGCTTTTAATATCACTGGTTATTTATGTTAAATTCAGTCAAATAAGTGTATAAAAAGATGCCCAAAGTGAACTTAAGTACCTAGATAAGCCAAAAGAATAATAAAGATCCTCTTCATATTAGTAAGCAGTATTAAGTTACTGCAGCAAAGTGAATAGAAGTAATAGCATAATGATGATTCATTGCCTACTATGTGCCAGGAAGTTTTGTTGTTATTTAATCCTCACAAGTATATGATGCATTATCATTTTGCCCTCATTTTATCGATGTAGGGATGCTAGGGCAGAGTGGGAGCTAACATTCCCAAAGCAACCCACTCTACCTGACTCTATATCTTTGCCATTCCCATCTTGAATGTTCTTTCCCTTCATTGTTGTGTGATGTTTAAAACACAATATTTGAGAAATCTCTACAGTCTAGGGCCATTGGTATTTGTGGTATCTGAATATTCTTTATAGTTGGTTTTCCTGACTCAGATGACATTCACACATTTGTTTAGAGCCCCATAGATGACAATGTATATCCGATAAGGAGTTCCTGGCTGGTGGAAATTGTAAATATGTTTGGCTGGCTAACCAACAGGTTGGAAGTTTCGGTCTACTACAGATACCTTGGAAGAAGGGGTCTGCTTCCCAAAACTCAGCCATTGAAAACTCTCTGGAGCACAGTTCTACTCCGACACACATGAGGTCTCCACGAGTCAGAACTGACTTGATAACAAATGGTTTTCATATCAGTTAAAGAGAAACAGGTTTTAGCGACTGCATTGCCAAAGAAGGACTGAACTGGGACCACAGCCCCCAGAACATACAGTAGAGATATCCTTGAGGGTTGTTAAGCTTCTTTTTCCATTAGCCATATCCTCAGTGGTGGTCTGGTGGCATAATGCCTAAGGCATTTGACTGCTAACCAGAAGGCTGGCGGTTCAAATGCACCAGCCACTCCTCAGAAGGAAGATTGGGCAATCTACTTCCATAGTGATACTGCCTCAGAAACCCAAGGAGGGTCGCTATGAGTCAGATCTGACTCAACAGCAGTGAGTTTTTTTTTTTTTTTTTTTCTAGTGATGCAGAAATTTGTAAACTACTGCCCATGGGCCAAATCTGGTTGCATTTGTACAGCCCACAAAGATTTTTTTTTTCCCTGAACATTTTATTGTGGTTTGGGTGAAAGTTTACAGAGCAAATTAGTTTCCCATTCAATAGTTTGTACATGTTTTGTTTCGTGACATTAGCTGCAATCCCCTCAATATTACAGCACTGTTTCCACTTCCTCCCTGGGTTCCCATTTCCATCCACCCGTCTTTCTTGCCCCTTCTTGCTTTCTGAACTTTGTTTTTGGCCATATGCTGCCCTTTTGCTCTCCTATCGTTGACTGTTCTGAGGAGCACATTCCTCACGGGTGTTAGTTCACTTAAGAATGGTTTTTATGAGGAGGCGGGGCAAGATGGCGGACTAGGCAGAAGGATTGCACAGACCCTCTTTAACAAAGAAAAGAGAAACCAATTAACACAGACACAGAAGATAATCTTGGACCCCTGAGCCTTGAAGGAAAGGATGCAGATT